CGTCACCTCTATCATCGCCCGTGGATGCATGTGTTCCCGACGCAAAGAAATTGTCGTCGTCGCTGGATGTGTTGTCGAACAAGAAGTCACCCTCGTCCCAACGCATGCGGGTCCTGCGAATGCAACCATCCGTCCGTTGTCGCCGAGTTCGAGGAGCGGAACCCGCATCGCCACGTGTCTGTCCTCCGACACCTGCTCGTCCACGGCCGCCATGTCCCCGACCGCCGGCCCTGCGTCGCCTCTTGTCCGACTCCGCCACCCGACGCTCGGCTCCCATGCGGGAAACGGTGCGCATCCTCTCTCTGGCGAGGCTCAACTCCCCCTCGGTCACCCTGGCCAGCGCACCGGTGCCTCTGACGAGCTGCTGGTCCCCGGCTGCCTCGTCCTCCACGGCCTGCCAATAATGCACTCATTTCCCGAAGACGCCGGGCCTCTCTCCAACACCATCGTCGCACAACGAAGGTCGATCGAGTAGCCTGAGGTTCCAGTGGCACCGCACAAGCTTCTCAGCCCGGGAAACCTCCAACCTGTTGCGAGACTTCGAATGAATGAAGCTCATACGAGACCAGGCTCTCTCGCACGGTGATGCAGTCGACCATATACGAAGGATCCTGCCTGCAAAGAGGGTCATGTGAGGGAACTTCGCCTTCTTAGAGGACCAAAAACTGGCAGGGTGATCATAGATACCCACAACTCGCCGCATGGTGAGCTCATCGAAAGGGGGCTCCCTCGTGTGAAGCTTGGCGACCGCTCGTTAGACCTCCCGGTGCTGCGGGGAATCCTCCGGGTAGCCGAACTGTACCAGGGCCTCGACCAAGGCCTGCTGCACCTCCGCATCGTCACATAGCGTCGGGTCCCGGAACTCTGGATCTAGCAGCATGGCTGTCGTGTGGGCGGGGGTCTTGAACATGGTGCACCGCCTGTGGAAAACCTCGACAATAGCCTCCTGCTGGTCCCGATCAATGTCACGACATGCAGATAAACAAGATGCAATCATCTCATCGTACAGTCGCAGAATCTTGCTGATTTGGTGTGTGTCGCTGTCCACCAACTTCAGCATGTCCATGATGGGCTCGAGCATCTTGCACAGAGCTCTCAAATCCTCCCACCATGGAGGGGAGCCGATACACGCAGTGACCTCCGCGGCGTTCTTGCGGATCTTGCCGGTCGACCAAACAGTCTCACGCCAGCGATCGTCGCCCACAACATCTGTCAACGTCGTCCGCAGTTCCACCAGCCTCTCCATCATGATAACGTTCGTGCCGAAACGCGTCTTTGCCGGTAGCAGAAGAGTCTTCGTCGAGTGCGCCTCAAGAACCTCTCTCGCATGTCCATGGCGCTTGAAGAACCGTGTAACCAGCCTCGCTTGCGCGATGCGGGAGGCCACCCAATCAATCCCGCCGATGTCCTCGAGAATGAGGTCCATGATGTGGGCGACGCAAGGAATCCAGAAGATGTGCTCTCATCTTTTTGGAATACCTCCATCGCCACGACGTTCGCCCCGGCGGAGTCCGTCACAAACGCTGTGATGTCGCTCAATTGAATGTCCATGGACACTTTTTCAACCATGCGTTCACGAGGGCACTGGCGTCCTTTTTGCCGTGCATGACGTCGGTGGCCACATACACTACCCCGATCTCAGTCCCAACAAGGTAGTTGCACAACGTCTGGCCACGGATGTTGGTCCAACCATCGGTCATGATTGTGCAACCGGTCTCTCTCACCGTGTCAAGCACCGGCCGAACACACTTCTGGACCTCACCATCCAGCTCGTCCAAAAAGGTTGTGCGCAGCATGTGGTAGGAGGGAAGTCTAGGCGCGGCCGCCCCCGGAACCCCCGGTGGGATTATTATCGTGAACATGCGTTTGAAGCTTTCAAGCTTCGAGCAGTTGAACGACATCCCGCTCTCGACGATGAATCGCATGATTTGCAGATGCCACGCGCGCTCCGAAGGGTCCGAATAATATGACGTGACGGCCTGCTGCCTGTAAGTGCCCCGGCATCGTCCCGTCGTGGCTCTCCCGCTGAGGACCCCGGCATCCAACAACCCGCCAGGACTCGCAGGTGCCTCGCTCTAGGCGACTGCAAAGTCGCGAATGCGATGCAAAGTGTCCAACGATCCGGTCAACACGGGTGGAGGTTGTGAGGCAGAACGACCACCACCCGTCGTTGTCGGAATCGGGGTCGGCGATGAATCGAACACCGGAGTGGGGACCTCCTCGGCAGGCACCCCATGATCCACCTGTTCCCCGAAACGAGGCACGGAGGCAGATTGTCGAGCATCTGCAGGTGCGTGTGACGGATCCGGGAGGGCGGTTGCATGAGCCTGGTGGACCACTCGACGCTGCGCCACTCGCGACGGGGGCGGTGGCAACCAGGGGTGCTCCGATGAACCGAGGGGCGATGCGCCAAGCGCCACCGCAACACCAACCCGTGCGGCATCTGACTGTCTAGCACCCCTGAACACAGGGGCGAGCACGGTTGAACTATCGGCACTCCCCCCCCACCTGTGATTCTCAATAAAAGCACATGTGCTGTCCTCGTCAAATGTCGCAGTGCCCGCACTATTCCTCGCAGCCGGGGGCTCGTTGGCTGGCACGGAACGACCAACTTCCATATCGCGAGCACCTCGTATCACAGCCAGCGGAGCAGACGTCGGGGCTGCCGGTCGTGTTGCAACTGTTGTTGCAGGACGCGCTTTCGTGATTCGAATAGCCGGAGCCCCAGAATTGGGCGATGCGACTGGTCCTGAAGAGGCGATGGCAGGAACCGGCGGTAGCACTGCGTCCTTGGAGAATTGAAGAGGTGACCACTGCAAGCTCGGATGACCTGGCAATAAGCTCTGCAACGTTTCTATGGCCGACGCGAACTCCTTCGGACATTTTGTCATGTCCTTCGACCAGATCGTATTCCACACAGCAGGAGTGACTGCCTCACAACGGAACTTCTCGCTCTTCGAGAAGTGTTCCTTGGTGGCTTTAACACCCCCACAAATCGAACGCCCGCACAACCTGCACAGACATCGACGACCGCACTTCCTATCCGCCGCCGTCGACCCATCCAAGTAACGTCCTCTGGCTACGAAATGCCACACTGGGTCGTCCCTCTTGCCGTCGACTTTCGGGTCGACCTTGAACGGCGAGTCAAACGTCTTCGTGTTATGACCTTGTCGGGCGCTTGTGGACGAGTCTATCGGTTCCTTCCCCCGGTTCTGTGACATGATGAAAGCCTGAACCCGCGAGAAGAAAACGATGTCGGAACCCTCTGAGAATGTTGGCAACTCGCGACAGAGATCGAAGTCGGCAGTCAGAGCGGCAAAGACATGCTATGAAACGGGGAAAAACAACGAACGCAAAAGTGCAGAACACCTGGATATCAAAGGGAAAACACAAAACGACATGAAACGCAAAAAAAAAAAAAACAAAGAACAACGAAAAAAACTTAGAACTTGGAGGGGGAAAAAAACGCGATGTTCTCTGTCCCTTGCAATGAAGGGGAAAAAAAAAAAAAACAAAAAAAAAACCGACCCACGACGCACACACGAAGACTTACAGATACAAGCAGAATGTCAGAATCTCCGCAAGGCAACATTCGACCACCGGAACTTCCGCATCCAAGAGGGTGATCCCACTAACTCCACACACCAAGAGAGAGAGAGAGAGAGAGAGAGAGAGAGAGAGAGAGAGAGAGAGAGAGAGAGAGAGAGAGAGCTACACAGGGTCCGAGTTTCAATTGCAGTTGGAACTCGGCCGTATGCAGTTCAGTCAGGGCCTTCGTCTATCCACGAACAGCAGATAAACAGAAAAAAAGAAAAAAACATCCCTTATGTTGTGATTGCGGTCCGATACAAGATGCTACAAGCAGCTACAGTACTTGTCTGTACCTCAACGAAGCGTGGAATCCGCCCTGCCTGGCTGGCAGGGCGCTACAGGGACCTCATAACAAGAAAGAAAAAACGAAAACTACCCGTTTCATGTTCCTCACTTCCTGGCCAGATACATTCCTCAAAGCAGTGGCGACCTGAGGGCCTTCCTGACGTATGGGGATGCAAAGTTCCTCGTTTCTTTACTTTCGGGGTGTGGCCGAGACATCTCGGCCCGGGGCTGTTTTTTTCAACAGCAAAACGGCGCGGCATGCGACAGGAAAAAAATAAACAAAAACAAAAAAACGAAGAAAGAGCACTCAAGTAGCACTCAAGTAGCGGKTAGGCCGGTACCGCACCCGGCAGGTGGGTAAATACGAGCATCTTTCACCAGTACTTACTATTCACTTCGCAGATGCTCCATGGTGGGGAATACTGTCTACACAGATTCACAGAATATACAAAAAAAAAAAAAAACAGACTGGGGAGCTAGTCATTATTGGGGTCCAGTGACTCTAGTACATGCAGTAGGTTCAGGAAGGTTGGTGTTGCATACTGTAACGGTGCTGCGGTGCAGACCAGAACAAGAACCGACCTCTAGATACAAAGTACAAGATAGCATAGCGGAAGACTTAGATACCAATGATCTGAACAATCAATATTGCAATGCAGCCCCGAACATCATCATCATCATTTTATGGTGTGACCTTTGAAGGGGGTCTGGCGCTCACACAGGAAGATTGCGCCAGCCCCAACCATACACAGACGAAGAAGAAGGGGGTTAGACGAAGAAGAGGGGAAGATGGGAATGTCGTCAACACCAAGTCCTCGGCACAGGCCTAAATAGTCCCTCGTCCAATTCCGCTTCCACCAGGGCTGTCACTGGCAGGGTCTAGTGCCGGTAGTAGGTTCAGGTAGGTTGGATAGGGTGTCATTGGATGCAGTTCCTACTGATATTCGGATAGAACTGTCTGGTGGCTATCATAAGGACACCCATGGCTCACAGTTCCAGGTGATCACTGTGCACTCATTCACTGACCTCAACAACACCCTGGACGAAAGAAAAGAAGAAAAAAAAAAAAAAGATGCAAGGAACATGAATATGGACGAAGCACATAAATCCAGATAGCAAAATCACACTGAAGTTTAAGTAGTCAAAGCAAGAGCAGACAGCACAATGGAACCGAGTAACCATCCATTTGAGAACGATACAGAAGAATCGTGAGTCAATGTCCAAGCCCAATGGGGCAACACCAACAACATAAGTTGCTGCATAACCCAATATAGCTCTCTCTCTTGAATAGCGCTATTGTCATTTCACCAAAAAAAAGAAAAAACGGTCGAGGAGCGGGGTTTGGCACTGCGGCTAGCAGCAGGCCGATCACATGTACAGAACCATTGAGGGCTCATGCTGCTGGTGAAACGCATGCTTTTCGTTGTTTGGGGGGGGGGAAAAAAAAAAAACCACCTACGGTGTTCCACTGTATTTTCCAAAAAAATATAAAACTGTGTCACACGTCACAGAATAGTTCGCTAATGGGTCCTGTAAAACTGTGTCACACCATAAAACTGTGTCACACGTCACAGGGGCCTGGACCCATTGGCGAAGTATTCTACCACTCCGTTCACAATTTCGATCACGCGTGGCCTCGAGTGACGCAGTACGGCCGTCGAATACATCCGATCTCGACGGCCTAGTAGTTTCCCAGCAGGGACTGTGACAAATCTAACGATGCCCACCGTCTTCCAATGAGATGCATATTAAAAAAAAAAAAAAAAAAAAAAAAAAAAAAAAAAAAAAAAAAAAAAAAAAAAAAAAAAAAAAAAAAAAAAACTGGGCATGACAGCTCGGGACTTTGGAATGATTGGAAAGGTAAGCAAGAGGTCGACAACAGCGAGTGTTGGAATCAACCGAATGCAACACACCGAAATATGTGAAAAACTCGGAAATGAAAAGACTCTTCAAAGATAACACAAGTAGAACAAAGAGTCGAGAACCATAGCCCTGCCTGTCTAACTTGGAGGTAGGAAGAAGGAAGTACGAGATAGAACAAAAGCTATGGTTGTCGTCTGGCTTCCCTCTACCGGTTTCGACCGGAGCCAGAGTCCGGTCTCGTCAGGAAGGTAAACAAATTCCGAGGTAAGATGAGAAGTTACTATGCTACTTAAATATCCGCTGGTTCCCGAAAAATACGCCGTGAGTAGAGTTCTGCTAACGCATTCTAGTAGATACCCCTGTAATTACCATTTTACCCTGCTAAGTAAAAAGGCTTGAAAATGCTCAAGAAGCCTCCCGTCCAAAAGTTTGTCGTATCAGGCCCTCGAAGTTTCCTCTAAGTTCTTCGGAGACCAGATACCCTAGAGGTGAAAAATCCTACTCTGCAGTAAAAACGTTATGTTGTTTGCCACGTTGCAAAAAAATATACCTGGGGCCTTCCTTCACGGTTTCCTTACCGCGTAAAAAATCCTTGCAGAAAACAGAGAATCCCATAAAATACAAAAGGTTACGTCACTCACTGTGATCAGKAGATCGCACGGAATACTGTAGTTACCTGGATCGGTATCCAGTCTTGATACCAGGTTACCACGTTTTACCACTGCGTAGGAATCTTACCTAGATAGCGGTTTTCCTTACCGCTTAGAAGCTCCAGAGGTTTTAAAAAGYTCAAAAAGTATATGTGCAGAAATCCCCGAGATCCATCAATCCCAGAAAAAACAAAGTTTCGTCATTTTACTCTTATTTGTGGGACACTGCAGTTTTACTGATCGGTTTTCAGTCTCCATATCAGGATCCCATATTGCGTAGTTCACTTACCGCGTAGAAGCTCCAAAAAGTCTCCCGTATTGCTATAGACAGTCCAGAAGTCTAATGGCTCCAAAATATATCTGTTGCAGGGGCGACCATCTGACTGTTCCCGCCCTTGCTTGAGATAGGTTTTACAGCCTATTCCGCAATATGGTTTTCCATATTACAAAAGTCTGTTAAATCTGAGGGTGCGTTTGGCTTAGTAACTACAACATTCATTTATTTTTACCATCCCCTATATCTGGCACTCCACTTTTCCCATGATGGTGCGTGCTTTCGGACGAATTTCCCCAGACAATTATCGAAGAATTTCCCCGGGTATCCCTGCAATCTAAGAAGTCTTTTCAAGGTAAGTAGACTCAACCCTRCTAATTCCTYGTTTGATGTTATCGTATAAATCATGTGTAAGCAACATGTAATAACTGATTTTTTCTGTGGAACAGACGAGTAGGAGATGAAGTCCTGAAGCGTTATGAAGGTGAGCACTTCCCTATCCTAGATTTCCTTAGAATTTCTTAGGACTAACTGGGTCGTTACTTGTCTCCCTGATTCCACTTTTATCTTTGTTCCCAAGAATTCTCATTCTCCTCTTTCATTGTCCGTACGCTCCAGCGACAATGCCTTGTCATAAACTGTTTTGAATTTATTAATGATGTTCGTTGTTTTTCTGCCGTTTTCCTTTCCGTTACTCCAGACAAAACCAGATGCATCGTCCATAAGTCGTGTGCCTTTAATTAGTTTCCTATCTGACCCTAGACTAGTCAGAAAGGAGTACTCATTATAGGCGCAGAGTATACAAGCCAAAGGCGGGCTTGTACTTTTGCCCATTGGAATTCGAGTTCTCTGCTTGATTAACCTACTTGCTGCTACGACGTATGTATTCCGAAGTTTGAAAGTGATCATATTTCGGATTTCTTCGAAATTAATAGTCATCCAACTGTCCTGCTCGTTCTTCAGAGAGAAGGAAGTCCCTTTTCCCCGCCGTCTTACTGACAGTTCTTCTTTCCCTTTTCCCATGTAGTAGCATAGGATCCAATCTAGTTCTTTCAAAATTGAGTTATGAGGTAGTTTACTAAACATTTCCTTAATATCAAATGCAGCACATAGTAGATAGTCGTTCTTTTTTGATTCCGTCCACTTATTTACTTCCGTTATTTTACGACTCAGTTGATCCGTTGATTTCATATTAAAATTCATGCTCTTTGGTAGTAAAAACAAGAGGTGGTTTAGGGCGCGAGCTACCCTACTTCCTGCTGATCTTGAGGGTTCAGAGAAAGAGGGGCTTATGGGGCGGAATTTACATAAGTCCTTGTTCTTAGGAATAATGTACGCACGTCCGCATTTGCCAGTCCCGTCCCATTTACCAATTCTTGTTAAATTTGCTTCCTTGAATTCTTTCTCGCATTTTACCAATGTTTCTGCTTCGGATTTCCATACAGCACAATAACTTTCGTTTCCCCAAAAAACGTCTTTCATTCCTTTTGCATAGATTTCATGACACATAATCATTGTTTCTGTTGGGTTCTTATCGACTGCCGTTAGTACGAAATTATTTCCTAGACGTTTCAGGTAGGACATGGAATTTGAATCAAAGTTACTATGGCTCGTTGACACTTTCAGACAGCTTACTATATCATTCATTGTCAGTGGTGTATCGATTCCCATATGTAATAAGGCATCATTAATTTCGCTTAATACTTCCATTTTCCTTCCCTTCTGATCCGGGTATGTAATGTTCCTAGCGTTTTTAACAAAGGGGTCTATGCCTTCCAGATTGCTTATTCTGCAAATCACATGTCCTTCCGTAGTAGGAAGGTTGAAATCTGCACATGTGCAAATTCCCACCGGGTCCTGAGAGGTTGTCCGATGGTTATGGAGGATATCAGCAACCGATCTGTTCTTTTTCCAGACCGTTATGAGTTTGCTACACATGAAGACAGCTTCGGCAAGAGGGAGGCAATCCATTTAATGGTCCGTAATAATTATTCTTATCGCTTTTTTACATAGTCCATTATCGTAATTAATAGTTACGCAGTGTTTTTTACGTGTATTAAACCAAATTTTCTCCATAGTACTCCTCTTATTATAT